TGTGTGTGTGTGTGTGCTCTCACTGTTGCAATTGGCGCTGGCTGCATGAACAGGATTAGTCAGGCTGAACATGGAGCCTATAGCCCTGAATGCATGTAGCCTATGTATGTATGTTCAAGGCTGGTCTGAAAGGAGAGCTTTTGCACCTGTGTTCGTCCTCGCCTTTGTCCTCCTTGGTAAACTTTTTGCAGCCCTCGCAGACCCCTCGGTTCATCCACTTCGGCGGACCTGCTATCACTGCAAAAAAAAAAAAAAACCCAACACATTTAAGATCGATTGCGCAAGTGATGGAAGCAGGGGGATGTTGTGTAGTGAGCGCCGACTTTATGCGTTAAAACACTGGTGGCCTCGACTGTTGTTTTGGCGTTTTTACATGTGCCAGTAACTCGGCCAAAGTCGGGAAGGTTTTGAACTCACGGCTTCGCTGCAGGAGCGTTTTTTTACGCACCTTCTTTAAAAGGCTGTAAAAGAATGTGTTTTTATGGTCGCAATTGCCGCCCATATGCAAAAAGTACATTCAGTCCCGTACTTGACTGCCAAACACAGACGAGTTAAGCGGACGGCTCCGCTGCTGCAGGAGAACTGCTGGACGCTTGTTGTGTTGTTCCGAAATGAGTTTATAAGCGACGAAACGACGTCGTGCGTCGCGTTTGGCTTTTAAATCGTTTCAACGAGGACGTAGATTTCTCAAATTACTCCGACTTCCTGCTTCGGTGCTGTCGTTTTGATAGGCTGTGTTGGCAATTAGTGTTTGGCACATTCCTTACAGGGCTAGACGCTATGGAAAACGACCACCTTGGGACATTACCAACAGCCAATTTAAAGTCGACATTTATTGTTTACTCTCCTAATAAAGAGTCAATTAATCAAGTAATTAATGAAGCAACTTTTTTTTTAGGAAGTTAGCAAAAGTATAACATTACAAAAGGATTTATTGTTTATAAGAACATAGTTGTGTTATTATTTCGACCTGTGGTTGTCTGGGGCTGACACAATAAGTCGATTCATCGTTTAGTGACTATATTGATTAGTTTAGATGGTCTCAGAAGTGTAATTTGTTGCCTTTCTTTGTTTGGTGTGATAGTAAACAAACAAGCAATTTTAAGATGTCGCCTTAGGCTCTTGGGAGCTTTTTAGAGGCATTTTTTGACATTTCATAGATTAGATGGTTAATTAATTCAGAAATTATTGTTATTTTCTTTATCTTGATAAATCAGTTATTCATTTGGTCTATAAAATATAAGAAAATAGTGAAAAATGTCTAACACAATTTGTTAAAGCCCACAATGATGATTTTTCTGGGATGAAAAACAAAGATTTTTAGTTTACTGTGACATAAAAGCAACAATAACCAATAATGTTCTGTATTTATGTTTGAAAACTTTTGTTTATGACTAATTAATTGACTAATCATTGCAGCTCTTAGGTTCCCTACAGGCTGTAAATCCAGATTTCTCTTTCACATTGCAGTGATTCTCTCTATTAAGATTTTCCATTTAGTATCTTTTCTTTGTGTGTGCTTCTAAATTATAATCTCAGCTGCACAAGCTTTACAGTAAAAGTTGTAGCAGCATCAGACACGCCTACAACATGCACAACCCCATTGAGAAATACCTCACAGAGGGCAGATGGAAAGGCAGCGTACAGTTGATGCAGATTTTGGATGGTAGATTGAGTTGTGAATATCTGTGCTACTTTTAGTCGCTGGACACCACTCTCATGTTTCCCTGCGTTTGCCAGACCCCTGTCTGTGTTCCGATGAACCTGGTGCCAGGGCTTATGTATAAGCAGTTCCCACGCTTTGCTCTTGGAAAAGAGTCCTGTGTGATTCAGAATGATCCTTTCAATGATACATTAAGCACCAGTGGACTTACTTGCTGGACTTACTGGGGTAGTTGTGCACAAAGAAAGCGTAATATAGCTGGTTAATATCCTAAATTATTTATTTAGTTGATTGCATTCAAAAGTAGCATTTTGTTTTTCATTTGTTTGCTCACATCTCCAGCTCCTGATACTCAGGTCTTCTCCTCTTTAAGCCCTCGAGGCCGCTCCTCCAGGCTTTGATGCCCACACTCTTTGACGCAGGTGGACAGACACAGGCATGAGTAACAGTGGGACCAAAGAGCCGTCTCCCCAGCCGAGCACCGCCCAGTCACCTCCTGAGCCTCAGCGCAGGGGCAGGGGTCGGCCACGGAAACAGCAGCAGGTAGGTCTTCAGTCTTTAAGAGATGAATCAGCTCTGTCCTTAAATTATTAAGTATTTAACTGAAAAACATAAAATGAATTCTGAAAAACCAAGCTAGTTGATAATGTGTCTCCTGGCGGTTAAAAACATACAAACAGTTGTTTTTCACTAGTCAGTTATAGTCCCATGTTTGGTCTCTTTCTGCAGGAGCCTGTTGGACCACCAACTCCAAAGCGGCCGAGAGGAAGACCGAAAGGCAGCAAAAACAAAGGCCCCAGAACTGCACTGAAGGTTGAGTATCAAAGATATTAAACATTTATATGATCTTTAATATCACAATTGTAACAGCAGCTTGTTTCTTCCCTATAGTGCAACGATCTACTTTTTGGACACTATATTTATACATTTTTGTTAAATTTACAAGAAATTAAGTATTCTAAAATTAGAAGATAGAAGTATATATCATGAGTGAATTTGGACGTCTTACTTTAGTAGAAATGGCCATGATCTTGATCAGTACAGGATAAATAAACCAGTAACAGACAACATATTTGTGTTATGACTAATGACAGTATACATGTTTATAACATAATGCATATGATCTTAATAGGTTTATCTTTCCGGTGCATCTGCATTAGATGCATCTGAGAGTTTTCTATGTAATACATCCTTTAATGTAAAGATTTATGTATTTCTGTAGGACGCTATAAAACAACATTCATCATGAGGGCAAATGTCAGCTAAAAACAGAGAAAAGACAAGCTGGTATTAAATCAGTGCAGTATTTATGTCTCACGCTGCAGGCTGTGGGTCAGTGCTCAAAGATAGACTGGTCAGTGCTGAGGGAGGAATTATTCTGAGGAATTAAAGATTGTCTTACAGAGAAGTGTCTGTCACTATATGTTTCCGCTGTATGCTTTTAAATGTAAACGCTATACTTCATATGGAAATTTCTCCTCTACAATTATCTGACAGATATAGCTACTGGTTACTTTGCAGTTTACCATTTTACACACAACATGTTCTCATCTTCTCATATATCATATAGTATATGAACAGTATATAGTACAAATTAGCTACAGTATTACACATAAATAGTACACTATTGTACTGCTACTTTTACTTAAGTAAAGGATCTCAGTACTTCTTCTGTCACTGTGCTCAAAGTGCCAATAACAACGATTAAAGATCGTTATTATTATCAATTGGATCTTATTTCCAATCAGTTTCTCTTAAACCTTTCTATGTTGTTAACTGAACCATTAAAAACTAAAAAACTATTTGTCAATTTTGTGTGCCATCATTTCTTAATGACAGCTATTAAATATAGATATACTGTATACTTGTGCAAACATGCACTCATATCTATCATTGTCAGCAAGGTTGCTGTTTGCATTGTTATTGAATTTGGTAGGATATGAAAAATAGAGATACTCACCGTAGCATTGCTAAATCTTCTCTTAAAATTTGAGGCTTTTCTGAAATGTGTTGCACCAGAAGGGAAGATTGTTGTACTACCCCTGCTGGCAACTTTCCATTAAAATCAGTAGATTTATATAGTAGTAGATGCCGGTGCATCTGCAGAATGTAGTAGTTTTTTAACACCGTAAATCAACTACTATTTTTTATAGAAATGTGGAAAAATCTTTTTTGGTTTTGTTGGAAGAGACACAGAAGAAACTTGTAGTTGTTTTAGCTTTATTACTATACTGGAGAAACAATTATTGTGAGGCAACTTGTTAAAACAAGGTAGAGCAAAGTATTTAATGTATGAGCCTGCTATTAGCCAATGACACAATATGTTGTTTGTCATTTCAAATTTCTCATAACAATCGGATATAAAAGCAAATTGTGCCATAAATACGTGGACTTAAATGTTGGTATTTTACTATTTAATTGTTTAAAGGTGTAATATGTAGGAATTCAAATTATCAAAAGATTGTGAAAAAATAATAGTTTTAACATCATATCAAAGTCCTGTCTCATAAAACCACTTTGTACCTTAAGAGCCGATAGCCGATAGCCTATAGCTGATAGATGTATGCAAGTGGTGAGTTCTCTGTGTTACACAAGCTCTCTTAGCTTTTTTTGTCTAATAAACAAAATAAACTCACAAAATGTCAAGAAAGGAAATATTCTTACACCTATTGTCCTTATTAAACAGAAAAATACAACCATACACCTTCTGAATTCAAGTTTCTCTTTTACAGAACTAAGATTACCTTTTTGTCTTCTTAACTGGTTGTAAAACACAATTGACAGAAACATAATCAAATTTACCACAACCGTCTTGGTTTGTCTTTCCACTGTTCCGACAATTACCAACTCTGAAATAATTCCTTAATTCACAGTAGGGCTGTCCTCCAAGAGTCGAGTATACTGTTAGTCGATGAGAGGAGTATTAGTCGACGCAGTTGAGTTCATTAGTTGGACATTCACAGAAAAACTGTACTTTGTCACCAGGACAACGGGATCGTTGCAACACGGACCCTTTATCTTGTAACACAGTACCGCTGCATGTGCTAACTGTATGATCTGCGGCCACTAGCTACTGTCCTATTAGCTGACTGTACCTGGCACCGGGTGAGGTTTGTTTACATACTGGAATAAGAGCTTTGGACTGCCGGGAGGGGAGCAGGGCCGTAATGAGCAATATAGAATAGAGGAAGAATGGGGCGAGCCAGTAACATCTTCCTCACCCTCCCAGTGACCACGGCTGGGACCGAACACATCCTCCGACAACATCGGAGGCCAGGCGATTTACAGTGGCTCCAACCAGGACTAGACACAACGGGTTCAGGTGGACACAGGAGAGGCGTAAAGAGAGCAGAGCGAGTTTGTAGCAAGCTGATCGATGTTGTTATATTAACATTACTTATAATATATACCGCTTTGCCATTAACATTTAACAGGCGGCTGTTACAATGTTTTTAAATAATTCAATTTCTTTTAATTAACTATTGGCTTTAACTAACGACTACATGTCGACTAGGAGAATCTTTAGTTGGGGACGGACCTAATTCACAAAGTTAGATGTGAAAAATATTCTGGCTCTACAAGCTGTTGCTGCCTTCTGACATCTGACTCTCCACTCGCTACTCTCCCGCTTCACAACTCTGCTGTCCCTTGCGAACCGGCCATGTCTGCTGTCCCTTGCGAACCGGCCATGTCTTTGTCATCCCTAGAGTCGGAGTTCTGGTTGGAGCCACAGAAATCACCTCAGTATTGTATTCCCTGTCGTCAAACTGACAGTCCAGTCCCAGCCCAACCGTGTTCACTGGGAGGCTGCTGAGCCCGGTTCCAGTTCTGGTGCTCAGGCCCCGCCACCATTTCCCACTGGGTCTGAAACCTTCCTCCTCCTGGCGGTCCTTAGCGGCTGTGTTAGCGGTGTAAACACCAACAATCCCCTGGTGCTCTGAACTCCCAGTCCGGGAGTCAGCTCATAGACATACTATATTGTATATATTGTATACAGCTAATAGGAAAACTAACTGCACATCTAACTGAGCTAACTAGCTAACGGCACTTACAGTTAGCAGCAGTTAGTGGTTACTCTGGTGATAATGCCCCCCATTTGTTTGAAGTATGAATTCAACAGGTGGCCAGTTCTTACATAATGCACCTTTTTAAAGTCATTTTACTCTACTGCACTTGGCTGTGAGAGTTCCTTATTTATGTTGAGATTAACACAGTGTAAAAACTGATTTTATTGAATATACAGCTTTGCAGACACTGAACATGTTGACATTTTGAGGGATGATTGAGAGAAAATACATTTCTGTCCCTGTTTATCACAGAAAAAAGTGTAGTTTTATGACATACAACTTGTGCTTGTAAAATATTGACAAATATCATTTTAGTTATTATTACTTGAGTTTATTGAACAAAACTTCTGTAGCTCCTGGGAGAAATCTTCCTCACTGACCTGCAGAAGCTTTAGCATTTAAAAATGGCTCCTGCAAAAGTCTGCAAAAACTATAATACTCAAATGGAAAAGTACACTCTCCTTAGTTAGTTAGTTAGTTAGTGATCATAGGATTAAAATCTGAAACCTCCCTTTAACCATTCATCTGTTCTTTCTCAGAAAGTAGAGCCAGTTGGGGAGAGACGACCACGTGGGCGACCAAGGAAATGGGTATGGAGCAATCGTTGACAGTTAGAGACATCATGGAGTTAAATGTAAATGTATGTCCAAAGCCTCCAAGGTGTCTGCTGCAGCTGTACAGTGAGGGGCGGCTTTTCCTTCATGTTTGATTAACGGTCTTCTCTCTCTGTCCACAGCCCCAGAAAGTAGTTCAAGAAGCAACTGAAGAGCAGCAGGTGAGGAAAACGAAATATTTCAAAGCTAGCAGGGTGGTCCAGTTTTGTGTTGATGTAGTACCTTAAGCCACAAATTCCCTGGACTGAAAAGCTATTGTGATTTAATTTAAATGGCTCTTAAAATGACTGAAATAAGGTCTGTGTATAAGATAAGCTTAAGACATTTCATGTTAAGCTCTATGAAATAACTTTCACAGCAATGTTCACAAATTTAATTTATAACAAACTGCTTATAAATTGAGCAGCAGGTTTGTTGCAGAGTCTTAGAATCATTACAAGCATTAAATCCTCTCAGCCTTTTAAGCATTTCTCTTCAATTTCATACTTTTCCACTGCAGATTTACAGAATTCTTTTTTAATATAGTTTGTTTTTTTATGAGTTGAAGTTGGGTTCCTGGCTATAGAAGAATGAAACCTCTGCTTCAGTTGAACAGAAGTCTCATTTTGTGTCACACTTTTACCTGTTGACTAATATCAGTTATATTTATGATGTAGGACTAGCAATGCTGATTTGCAGAGATGATCTCATTTAACTATTCATGAATGTCTTGAGCTTGTTGTTAAGCACATAGTTTATGTTCAGCTTTTATTATTAGTATTTATTCTTTGTTCTTTCTAGTGCGCTTTAATGCAAAATAACACTAGTCTAAATTACATAACCACAATTCCAACAAAGAGAAACAAAGAAAAAACCTCTTTCCTCAGGCCATCAGGATGGTGCACTCTGACCTCTGTATATCCTCAGTCTGTAGCACAGTCTACAGTGAATCCTGTGCCTGGCACATTGCATATTTGCACATATTACACTACTTTTCATATGTTTATCAGTTTATCTCTGTTTTGCTCCTTATTTTTTATACTTTTAGCACAACCTGAAGAATGCACCATATTGCATTTCAGCAAATATACTACTGTGCATATACTTGTGTATGTGAGAAATACACCTTTGGATCCTAGTACACCATGTATTATCAGACAAATATAAATCTGCTCAAATTGCTGTGCTTTGGCACATTTGATTTAAATAGCAACAGAGCCAAAGCACATACTCCTTGTGCTTCACTTAAACTGCCTTTATGAGGATATGACGAGTTCCTGGAAAAGCACAGATGGCGGTACTGAATTCCCCTGATACACCTCCATACATCCTTTCGTGACATCCAGTTTGGTTGAATATACGACCAATGTTTCTGAGAATCTTTGTTTCTTGTAGCCATCTTGTACAGTTTTCAAACGACAACATTGCACAACGGTTGTCACCAAAGCGGGCAGGTCTCTTGATGCCCCTCATCTGCCTTATCGCATCCTCTGCACCGATGCTTCAAGAACTGAAACCGTTGAGACAGACTCCCTTTTTGTCAGACGCACGCACCCGAAGGGGAAGAATGAGTCAATGTAGAGAGGGGAAACCTGATCTAGCTGTTCTCTTCCTCTGTCTTGGTTTCCTGACATAACCGTCGTCTTCCTCACATTTCTAGCTCTGACAGCTGGACCTACTTCCACGCACGCAATCACGCAGCGAAAAATTAACACTCATTCTTGTATTCTCATGCTTTTTCTAGTATTGATTCATTACTGCGTGCACAATGACTCAGTAAGCTGAAAGCAACCAGACAGTAACAGACAAACTGACAGTGGTTTTGGTCCTCTGCTGTTCCAGGGCCCTTCAGAAGAGGCTGAGGAGGGTCCCTCGCAGCTTGAGCCCTCTACATCTCAGGTCCCAGCGGAGGAGGAAGGGGAGTAGATAGGATGCCTCTCTACCTACCTCAAGGTTTGGCCTCAGACAAACAGGGGTACAGTCTGACTCCTATCTGTGATGGGGATTCAGGAACACACACACTCACACACACAAAATCATTGCATACGGTGGTTTCTTCTCCTCATCTGATACTGTACCCTGGTTTTGTTGGTTCACTATAAGAGTTTGGTGAACAAACTCTGTTTTAACATTGATGGATTTGATCTTTGGATATGGCTTTTGTTAAGGGAGTAGTTTCACATTTTGGCCAACACCCTTATTCACTTTCCTGCCCGAGAGTTCGATCAGAAGCTTGATACCACTCTACGGTAAATTAAGCTTCTGCCAACAGCTGATGAGCTTAGCTTAGCACAAAGACTGGAAACAGACGGATAGAGCTAGTCTAGCTCTGTATAAAGGGAAGTGTGCTTACCATTACCATCTAAAGCTCATTATCTAACATGTTATATCTTGTTTGTTTAATCCATAAATAAACCAAAGTGTAAAAAATAATTTTTTTTGTTTTTACAGGGGTCATGTGCCTTTTGAGTTTACTAGTAGGTGGGTTTGTTATACCTTTTGGCAGAGCTAGGCTGTTCCCAGTCTTTATGCTAAGCTAAGCTAACCCTTTTTCAATTCAATTAATTCTAGGCAAGAAAGCCAAGAAGCGTATTTCCCAAAATGTCCAACTATTCCTTTTAAGGATTCCTGCTTTCCTGTTCCTCCCAGTGTGTGTGTGCGTGCGTATGCGTGCGCGAGTGTGAGTGTTTGTGGTGGTTGTGTGAAGAGGGGGGCAGGGTTGCGGGCTAAAATGAGAGGGGGGTTTCAAGAAAAAAAAGGAACCAAACTAAACCGTTTTATTGAAACATGTTTCTAAATCAAGTGCCATGAATCCTCATATGAAACGGGAGCAAGACGGTGACATTTTTCGCAATGTTACAATATAAACATGGTGCTCTGAAGTCATTATTATGAAAGTAGATGTGAAAGGTTTTATCCCAAAATGAAATATCCAATTTGGGGAACGGAGAAATGTCTTATTACGTTTATTGTTCAGAATACAAAATGCATTGGATTACCTAGCTCAAATGTCAATGTAAGCAAGAGTACAGTATTCAAGTTGATAACCTCAGTGAACACCTTTTTTTTTAGAAGTTTTAAGAAAAAAAACACCCAAAGGTTTTAAATGGATGTTTCATTTTGGGTAGAAATCCTTTATATATACTTCAGTCAACAACAATGTTGACGTGTCATTTTACCACACTCAGGATTTTACTATTACCGTGCTTTTACACCATATTGAAACCTCAGGTACAAAACTATTCAGGAACATGTTGTCAGTCTACTCAGTAATAATTATTGTGCTGTGTTTGTTGTGCATTTCTGATCTGTATTTGACATTACCAGTATGCCTTGACACAAAGACCTCATTTAAACCTCACTTGCCCTCAGTTTCTTAATCTCTCATTCTACCTCAGTAACATAAAGACAGACGATCTCCAACAAAGTTATTCTCAACTCCCTCAACAGCAACGACATACATTTGCTGTACACACACACACACACACACACACACAGAGAGAGAGACACGTACACACATACACACAGGTTCATGTGCAGATATACAACACAGACAGGCAAAGGGTTTTCAGCCCTATATACCAACACACAGAAGCAACCAGTACACTCCAACAGAGGATTTTACTATCGGTGTACAAATAAAAGCATCAGTGTCATTTCTTTAAAAAAAAAAAAAAGAGACTTGGTTTGTTCTCCTGGGAAATAAAATGCAGCCAATAGTTTACAACAACTTGATGAAATAATTGCTTTTTAGGGTATAGTTCCTTATGAAATACTTGTTTTTTTGGGTCGCTTACTCTTTTCTCATTTTTACTACATCATGTATTTTCTGATTCTTACACTGTAAATTGTATGTGTGACACTCTTAATTCATGTGATTTCAAAGGAAGGGCAGCAAATAACAACACAGTGCTGAAATACATGACGATTATGGAAAACAACAACAACAATCACCACAGTTGCCTTGTATGATAATTGCCAAATAAATTGTGGGGGATTCATTAATACTAAACGCTGCATCAATAACCCTGCATTTTTTGGCTTTATTTTTTTGATATAAAAATTAACTAAATTGTTCCGTTCCTTCCTAATTTGCTATTAAAAGCAAGAATATAATCTTTGGTGAACAATGACCACTGTGGCCACAATGTGACAATAATAGCACAAGTAAAGTCAGCAAAAGTAACATTGTTTATTAAGGAACATCTATCTAAAAGATTGTCTCACTGTTCATACCAGACCAAGTGAGGCTGTAGCAGGAAAACCCCTGATTTTCATTCGTGGTTGGAAAAGTTACATGGCCTTGCTTTAAAGGGTCAGTCCACCCAAATTACAAAAAAGAAACATACAGTAGGCCTATTTAACATTAGTGGTATCCAGCCATGCAGATAGATTTGGCTTTATTTGGCCAGGTTTTAAATATCTGTTCCTTCTTCTGGCACTTCAATGCAACGGAAATTTTATTGGGATTTTGTTTGTGGTCAGACACTATTGTGCTCATGGTGTGAAAAGAGAAACAAAACTATCTGCATGATAAGATAACACTAGAGGTTAAGTGTGTAAACATGTTTGTAATTTAGGAGAACGCACAATTTAGGGTTTACTCATTAAAAAAAAGGTGGACATTTTATCTGTAATGATTCAGTAATAATTTACTTGTCATACACCTGTAAGATGATGTTGGTATTTTGGAGGACCATGTATCTCTAGATTACCAAATTATTTTGTTCTAAAAATCAAAGGTTTCTAGCCTCCAGTCTGTTTTTACAGAAATATATTCTGATACCTTGTTGGACAGGATTTCTGCATTTAAACTGACAGCCTGTTGCAAATGCTTCTGCTGTCATCCTGCGTAGACATTTATCCAACTACATATCACTTACTAGTCGTCCATTACATGACTTGAATATTACCCATTATTTACTGTATATATCAAGTGTTTTTTCCACCTAAACCTTGCTTATTTTATCACTGATTACATGTTGTATCCCAGTAATTTTATGTATTTCAGCATTGTTGACTAAATTGCTGCCAGAGAAGCTTAATTCATTTACAGACAGGTATGTTTTCATGTTCAACTGCATTGACTTTACTTTTTTTGCCCTCTGGACTACCTCTGAAAACTAACAAGCCTGGGAAATCTCTGAGGAAGTTGTTGGTTAGTCGTACCTAACCTTTTTCCATCAGACCCTGCAGGCGATGTGGATCATGAAATCTTGAAATAACTGTCAAACTAGTACTGTTGTAGTCCACTCATCTCATCTCACTACATTCATATCAACATAATGAATGGAAGTCAGCCTGAAGGGTGCCTGTTAATTTAACTACAGCTGAGTCAATGTTTGTTATTTTACACAAGCTGTGTCTGGATATTTACTCTCTATATGGGGACAATGTAGTTCTGTGATCTTACTGATAGTGATATAGTTACATACAGTACTTGATCCATTTTCAACTATTTAAAAGTTGAAGTGTAACTTGAGAAATCATCTTTTATCCCTTACTTTTAACACCATTTTGTAGTTATGTTATTGATGTGTCCTCATCCACTTCATTAATACAACTCACAAACCTGTGATATATATTTTGTTATGATTCTTTACCATGTGATTTGTGTTATCCTGCTTCTTTATTGCTTATCAATAAAATATCACACGTATCAACTCTCCTTTGATATAGATTTGTACAACAAAACCCCTTTTTTCAAATTGGTTTAAATAGTTTTAATGTATACAGATGGAAACAGTCCTTCAATGGTCAATAAAGAAGACACAAAACAAGGGGACAGTTCATTCAAGAATGGTAACACATCCAGTGTTCACGCTCTTCAAAGATGCAAGACCACAAAATAAGTATAACACAAATTTACATTTCTCTCTTTTCAAACGTGGAAGTAGATATTGAAGCTCGAAAGAACTTCACTGACAAGCTACCAAACATTTTAACAGCAATGACACAACATGATTCAAGAAAAGTGCATCACACTGCATTTGTGCGACAAACAGTGCAAGATCATACGTGATGCCTCCCTTTAAACTCCCTTATCGTACATGCACCCTACATTTTTTCCCCATATAATCCACTGCCATTCCACACAATCGTGGTGGTAATGAAAACGTTCACAAAAGCTCCAGTTGTTCGCAAAAACAGTCAAGTTGTCCCTTTGTTTTCCTTCCTGAGCGACAGTCTGTGTGTCGATGAGGCCAGTGGCCCCGCAAACTGATATCAACTAATGGAAGAAAGCCGCTAAGCGTTGAGAGCTTTGGCTACATCTGTGAAGACCAGACGACTGGGCCTCTGTGTGGTCCCCTGGGAGGTTGTGAGAGTCTGCAGAGGAGATAAAACTGTTAGTGACATTAAGAGCACATGGTTACTCCAGTTTTGAACAGCAAAGTATAATATTATGTTTTGTTCGATTTCAGGACCACCAAAGCAGCTAAATCAACTCAATATTTTAGGATTAGAATGTGATTTCTTTCTGAAACCAGAGAAAATGTCTGAAACCATACATTATACAAACAGATCAGGCTATGTAGTAAGTTCAGTTTGTAAAAATGACATAGGAAAATCTATTAAAAATGCAAAAAGGCATTATTCTCAATGCAATTCTCATTTGAAACAAGGGTTTCAAAAAATAATTTTAATCTTAATTTAGGTCCACTTAGCTATTTAGTGGGTTTGCAACTGCATTTCATGTATTTCATGAACAAATCAAGTTTACTCAGTTGTCATGGGGTTGATACAGTTGCCATTTGTGAGCTGCAGATGAAAGCTATGGACAAAGATAGTACGTGGGCCTTGAGCTTGAGATTTTGAGTTCATGTTATAAAACCTTTGGCTACTGAACAAAAATCGATTGAGTACCATATAAAATAAATAAAACTGCACTTATTTATTATTTTTCTTTACCAGCACTTCTCAACATATTACTGACTGTTCTCCATTGGAAGTCTTCAATGTGTGATGGTGTTTAGTACACACATTATATTGGATTTGGTAACACGTTCACGTGGCCTGTGGAATATTTGATTTTTAAAGTATTAAGTTGAGGGAGCAGAAAGGAAAGGATGAAAGATAATAAGGATGAAGGTTTGAAGTTAAAGTGTGTTAATGCGTCTTCTGTTAGCACATACTTTAATATACACCGATCAGCCATAACATTATGACCCCTGACAGGTGAAGTAAATAACACTGATTAT